TAGAAGGGCCGGAAAGAATTAGCAGGCCGGAAAAATCTCCGGAAAGTGGGGTATTTTGAAATTGGCATATTTCATGGGTATTTGGCCCCCATTTTAGGGTTATGGGGAAATCCAGGGTAGGGTTAGGGTTAGCAAAACTAAGGCAGTTCCGAGGCTTCCGAGGCCTGGGAAGTGCTTAGAAGGGCCGGAAAGAATGAGCAGGCCAGAAAAATCTCCGGAAAGTGGGGATTAAAAAACGGGTGTGCTGCATGGGGAACTATGCCAGATTTCAGGGTTACGGGGGAAATCCAGGGTAGGGTTAGGGTTAGCAAAACGGAGGCGCTTCCGATGCTTCCAGGGCCTGGAAGGTGCTTAGAAGGGGCAGATAGAATGAGCTGGCCAGAAACATCTCCGGAAACTGCAGCAAGCTCACATTAAACACAGCGCAACTTTGGACAGCAACGCTAAAACCTGGCCAAGGACATACGTCACATGTGGCTGTGCACCTTTTTGGGATGTCCCTCTTTCTCAGATAATTTGGGGTGTGATGTGGCTTGACACGTGAGCTAAGAGGGGCTTGTCCTCGGTCTTTCGTGATGGGACCGTCCCTCTGTCAGCCGGAATGTGTGTGCATATCCCAACGGGCTGCCTGCGGGCGCAGCACTCATGCCGGGAGACGCTCTGCCTGCTTGCCATTTCAGTTTTGGATGCTGATCCTGGCGACCACCATGCCGATGCCTGCCGGGTATTTCATGCCCGTCTTCATTTATGGTAAGACCCTCCTGATCTGCTCCCCCAGCCCTTTGTCTCCAGGCAAGGTTAGCTCCACAGACATAAAGATGATGTAGGGATGGAAACAGTTCAAATGTGCAGTACATCAGGAGGCCTAAAGCAGGGGAGGGGTTCTGCAGCCCTCGCGAAGGCTCTCCCCGCCCTGATTGCTCTGTAGGGCTGGGGCTGATGGGAGCTGCAGGCCAAAACACCCAGCGGGCTGCAGGGGCTCCCCCTTCCCCCGTCCCCTGCAGGAGCGGCACTTGGGCGCCTGGTGGGAGAAGCCGTCGCCACCGTCTTTCCGCAGGGCATCGCCTCCGAGGGCACCGTCAGCCTCGTCACTCCTGGGGGCTACGCACTGGCAGGTGAGTCTGCAGCGCCAGGAGGAAGCCCTGCTTCCCCCACCACCTGCGCCGCGGCTGGCGGGGGCACCTCTGCGGCAGTGCGTGGGCGCCCTCCCCAACAGCCTGGGCGCTCTCCGCCCGGCCGTGTTCCCCGGGAGGCCCCCTCCCCTCACAGCCCGCCCTGGGCTCCCTGCAGGGGCAGCAGCCTTCTCCGGCGCAGTCACCCACAGCCTCTCCACGGCCCTGCTGGCCTTTGAGATGACGGGGCAGATCAGCCACATCCTGCCCGTCACCCTGGCAGTGCTGATCGCCAACGCCGTGGCCCAGAAATTCCAGCCCTCCTTCTACGATGGCACCATCATCGTCAAGAAGCTGCCCTACCTGCCCCGCATCCGCAGCAGGCACATCGGGTGAGCTGCGCCCCCCCCCCCCCCCCGTGGCCCGCCAGGGACTCAGGCAGAGGCCTGGCACGCCACGGCAGCCTGCCCCTCGCCCCATGAGGGCCCTCCGCACATGTACTGCCCAAGTGTTCAAGCCTCCCGTGCTCGTTTTGCTGCGCGTGGCTGTGCGGGTGGGCACGGGAGCTGGCAGGGGGCCTTCGAGCCCGGGCTCCGCTTGCTGGGGCAGGTGCCCCATGGGGGGCAGGGGCAGGGTCCCCCAGGAGGAGGGAGGGCAGGGCAGGGCCCTCCTGCCACTGTGCTGCCAGGCTGTCTTGCCTCCCGCCTCCCCGTCGCTTCTTCTGTTCACGTATTCCGGACGGAAAGCCCTGACTCGGACCCCGTCCCTGGGAGCGTGCTGGGTGCACGTCCCTTCGGTCGGGCAGTGGGCCAAGCAGGACGGTGCTGGCTTCCTCTCCTGCAGCTCCTACAAGGTCACCACGCAGGAGTTCATGAACACCAGTGTGGCCACCCTGCCCAAAGCTGCCACCTTTGAGGATGTGCTCCAAGTGGTCACCTCGACAGCTGAGCTAGAGTACCCCGTGGTGGACAGCACTGGTACGGTAGCTTTGGGGAGGCAAAGGTGGGGGTTCCCAGTCCTCCCATGCGCCCACAGTGGGGCCTGAAGCCCCCTTCACCCCGCAGGGCCAGGCCGCCTGGGAGCGCTGGCCACAAGGCGTGCCCGCCCGGGCAGCCGCCCTGTCCCAGCTGGGCAAATGCAGGTCCGCCAGCCTCGTGGGCAGTGCGTGGCCAGGGGCACCCACCCAGAGCCGGCCTGACCTCTCCCCTTCGCTGCAGAGACGGCCACGCTGCTGGGAGCCGTGCAGAGAGAGGCGCTCATCACGTTCCTCCAGACCCATGATGCCACCGGCCCACCCCGTGCAGAGCAGGCGGGAGAGGTGGGCCCACCACGGCCGTGAGGAGGGCGGGGTGGGGGGGGGCTGCTGCCACAAGGCCCGGGGCAGCTGGGCAGCCAGTCCTGGAAACGGCCTGCCTTCCCGGGCGAGCAGTGCAGTGTCGTTCTCCTCTCTCGGCAGCCGCCTGCTTGCCCCACTGTGGGCGACAGCTGCCCCATCTGCCCCGTGACTCTGCAGCTGTCTCCCTGGACGTCTCTGCACCAGGTAAATGTGGGGGGGGGCAGGAGGAGGGCTCCCCCAGCGGCCAGGCCCCTGCACCCTCCTGGGGAGGGCCCGTCCCCCCCACCCCCGCTTAGCCCCTGCCCAGTGGCCACCCGCAGCAGGGCTGAGTGAAGAACGAGGGTCTGGCACAGCTGCACATGGGGTGCAGAGGTGGCCCTCGCAGCCTCGCCTGCTCAGCCCCCGGCCGGCCCCACACACCTCTCGTCTCCCTGGCAGGCTCACCACCTCTTCGAGCTGCTGAACCTGCAGCAGGCCTTCGTCACCCAGCTGGGAAAGGTGGTGGGCGTCGTCTCCAGGAAGGAGGTAACCCCGGTTCCTCCCCAGGGAGGTGGGCAGGGAAGGGGCAGGACCCCCGTTCGGCTGGGCCTCGGGGATATCGGCGCATCGCTCGGTGTCTGTTGCGCTGCGTGTGACCCGGGAAGAAAAGCTGCCTGGGCGGCACTCACGGCAGTGCCTCAACCCGGTGCGGGACTCGAGGGCGGTTGGCAGGACCCCGGCCTTGATCCAGCCCACCACTAGGGGCAGACGCAGGGCTGCGTGCGGGAGGCCCGAGTGAGCCCAGGCAGAGCCAGGGAGGGCTGGATCCTGGCCTGAGGAGTCCAGCCTTGAGCCCAGGAAAGGCTCCGCTGCCCTCTGTGCCGGGCCGGATGGACTGGGCCCGGCTCACCTGCAGGCAGCGCCTGGTGTTCTGCGGAAGCTCTCCTGGCTTGGTTCAGTCTCCCGTGAGACCCCATCCCGGAGCGGGGAGGGAAGAGGGAGAAGCAGCTTCTGCGGAGGCCTTCCAGGCAGGACCGTCCTGGGTGGCCGGAGGCTGCCGAGCGGTTGCAAACCGCTGGTCGCGTGGGGACTCCTGCGCGGCCAGCTGTCAGCCTCACTCCCCCTCCTGCTTTAGCTGAGGAAAGCTATCGAAGACCTGGCAAATCCCAAGCCATGAATCAGGGAGAGGGGCTGCCCTGCTGTGAGGCGCCGAGAAGCAGCCCGCACGTCACTGAGGAAGCGGCTTCCAGGGCAGGCGCCCGTCGGATTGCTCTTGCTTTTTATCTGGTTTTCACTGAAAATTAAAAACTGCAGACCTTCAAGCCTTTGTGGGCAAACTGAGTACTGGGGAGGTGGCATACAGACGGTGGAGAAATGGGAGGGACGGATGTAGCTCGCCCTTTCCAAAACCAAGCCCACCCGGAGACTCCAGGGCCTTGCTAAATAACAGGACCAAAAGATGGAAAAATGGCTGCTTCTGGAATCTGGCTGAAATGCTTGCAGTGTGTCCTCCTGGGGGGGGGAGTGATATGGATGGATTTGGGGTGCAGGTCGGGAGGCAGCCAGGGCACCCTGCCCCTTCTTACGGACTGCCGCCTGCTCACAGCAAAGCTGCTCCTGGGCTGCTGGCCGCCGCCTGACAGCCCCCGGGGGCTCCCCCATGGCCCTTCGATTCTGCTGCGCCGCAGCGGCTTGCAAGGTACAAGTGCGCCCAACGCAGCACAGAGCAGGCCGGGCAGCCAGCAGCCGGCCTCTGCGGAGGAGCAGCCGGCGTTCCCCCTCGATTGCTGGCGGGTGTTCAAGCAACCAGGTGAAGCTGCTGGACGACTGCACACGCCATCCAGATATGGGACGAATCGAGAGGCACACATGGCCGGGATGCTCGGTGCTTGGCGGGAAACTGCAGCGGATCCTGGGACGCTCCGGGGCCCTCGGCAGCCATCGCCCCTGCTCGGGCCCCGCAAGGGCCACAGGAGTTATCCACCCCACCCCTTGTTTTTGGGATTGTGCCCCAGAGCGAGAGGCCCCCGGCAGCAGGCACGACACTGTCAGACTCGTCAAATAATTATTACCCGATTATTAGAACTGCCAGAGAGGCAGTGCGAGCGAACAAATGCGTCGGGAGCTGTCCAGCAGGTCCGGCTGGCCTTGCCCCTTGCCCCGCCGGGGCTCCATAACTTTGGGCAGCATTTCCAGACCCACACAAGGACAGGTCACAAGGATGGTGCTGCTGCTGCCGCTGCCGCTGCTGGCAGTCCAAGGAGAGCCCTGGACAGGCGCGCCCCAGCCCTGCCCTGCCGCCTCGCCCCAAACACAGGCTGGAAGCGGCTCTGTGGCTGCTCCGAAAGCTTGAGACGAAATGCGGCCCAGAGCCAAGGCGGGCACCGACTCTGGCAGAGCCCCCCACTCCAGCAGAGCCCCCTTGCCAGGTCACCCCTCCGGCCACCGCTCAGTTGTAGAAGACGTCGTCCTCAGAAAGGGAGCCACTATCCAGGTCGCGCGGGGTGAGGGTACCCCCCTGGGGCACACACCCCAGCTCCTCCCGCTGTGGCCCAGCCCGGGGCTTCCCTGAGCTGCCTCGCTGGGCGTGCCAGTCCCTCGCCACCTCGCCCTTCTGGGGAACAGGGGATCCACAACCAGTCCCGGAGTCGGCGTGCAGGCTGTCCGTCGCAACGGGGCTGCTCACACTGGAAAGAGCGTTTTCCTGCAGGCAGAGGCTCCCCAGGTCTAGAGAAGAAGAGGGATCGGGGTGACGGGGCATGGAAGCCCCAGGGCCTGAGGCCAAGGCAGGAGTTTCTGCCACAGGACTGGGGCATCGCCGGAGGGAGGAATGGACCCTCCAGGCGCAGCAACGGGGCGGGAGGCTTGGGCATAACAGTGTTATTGGGGGGGGGGGGCAGACTGCTGCGAAGCCCAGCCCTGCACTCGCATTCCTCTGTTCTCCCGGAGCCCTCACTGCCTCCTGGCACCCCTGCCGGCCTCCCTGGGGTGCCAGAGCAGGAACAGCACGAGTCCGCAGCCCAGCCCCGGCCCCGGCCCGTCCTCAAAGCCTGCGCAGCCCATGGGGCAGGAATAAAATAGCACCCACTCCTGCTGCCCCGATCACCTGCCAGCCTGCCCTTCAGAGCCCCCCAGGCTGTGGGGCTTGGAATGGGGGCCACCCCAGGCTCTTGGCAGTGCTTTCAGGCGCGGCCAGCCCCTGTCCAGAAGCAGGAGCAGCTCCGGCAACGAGGGGCCTCCCCCAGCAGCCTTTGCGGATGGAGGGGGGGAGCGGGGGGGCAGGCAGTACCTTGCAGCTGCACAACATCCCACGCGGTGCCCCCCTGCTGCAGCTCCTCTCCGTCCAGGGAGGGCCAGGCGTCCAGCGTGGCCTCCGTGATGGCAAACTGCTCGGCCACACCTGGATGGGGAGCCGGGAGAGTTGGGCAAGAGGCTGCCGCTGCGGGTGGGCAGCTCCCCCGGGCTCAGATTCCATGGCTGCGCCACACAAGGGGCTCCCCGTGCCCGGCAGAGACACCCACTGCCTCACCAGCCGCGAAGCGCGCCTCCTTCAGTGCGTCAGGGAGGCCCTCGTAGAGCTCCTTGTGCGGCGCCACGTGCTCCCGGCCAGCCAGTGGGGCGCTCCAGCCCTTCCACTCGATGAGGTGGGCCACGCGGCCCTGGGCCATGGCAGTGGGCTTGGTGACGTGGTCCCTGATGGTCTGGATGAGGCCTGCGGGGCAGAGATGGAGCCGGGGATCGGGGCTGAGCCCAGGCAGGAGCAGAGCGGGCTGAGGGAGCCATCACTGCTCGGAAACCGACAGCCCACGGCAGATTAACCCCCACAGCACCAGGCTGCTCACTGCGAAAGGCACAGCAGCCTGAGCACAGGGGCCCGGCACGCTCCGCTCCGCGTGGCCCAAGCAGGGCAGCAGCCACGAGCCGGCAGGGAACACGCCTTCCACTGGGAGCAGCCACACCTACCCACAAGGGAGGACGTGGCCAGGGCTGCCACGTGATAGGCACTGGAGGAGCCGGAGCAGGAGCGGATGCTCCCGGAGGCCTGGACACATTCCTGAGGGAAGAGAGACGGGATGGCAGTGAGGCGGGCCACGAGCCAGTGGCACGGAGGGCAATGCACTGCCGGGAGGGGCTTCTCACAGCAAGCTCTCTTAGGAACGCAGAAGAAAGCGGCAACTCAGCCAGACAGCCAATAGTTGTCGGCCATCAGAAAAGAGCAACCTCTCGGTCACCTAGCAAGGCCCTCAGGATCTCACCAGAGGGTTTTCTCCACTGCCTGATCTTTCAGCGGGAAGCTCCAGGGACCAGACCTTCTCCGCGCAACAAAACATCTTGTCCCCAGAGCAGGCTCCTCCTGATGAGTCACGCGCCCTAAGCATTTCACATCTATGCTGGCAAGCGTGCTAACAAACCCCTAAGACCCTCGAAGCTGCTGAGGGCTGCACAGAGTGGAGCACCACCGACCCTCGCGAGAGTCCAGCCTTTACCTGGCCAGCGTCCTCTTCCCGGGCAGCGGAAGGGCTGTGGCCTCCCCTGGGAGCCCATGAGCGGCCCAGTGGTGGGGGGGTGACCGTGGGCTGCTCCTTCTGGGTGCCGGTGAGGAATTCTGCAGAGGAAAGGAGAGTGGGGCAAGCTGCGTGGCCTTCGGAAGGAGGATGGGGAGTGCGCAAACCATGCCCCGCGGGGGCCTGCCAGCTCCAGCTGCGCAGGGCCTGCTCCCTGCGGAGGGGCTGCCTCCCCCTGCACGGGCACCCGGTGGCCCTGCGTCCCCAGCCCTGGCTTCCGAGCGGGGCCACCGGCAGATCAGTGGCCCTGAGCAGGTGCGATCCCCGAGGCCAGACTTCTGCGGGCACGGAGCAGGTCTCTTCCCCAGCTTTGATCGAAGGTTAGCTGACCGGGGGAGGGCAGTGCTGGAGCACGGACCGAGCGAGCCCCCTGGAAATTGCTCCCGGGCGCGCAATCAAGCCGCGCAGGCCCTGCCGGTGTCGTTGGAGGACGCGGGGGACGCGGCGGGGAGGGCCCCGCAGGCAACACGACCCCCCGCCCGGCCGCAGAGCGTGAGATCGCCGGAGCCGCTGGCTCCGCTCCCGCAGAGCCCCGGGCCCGGCCTCCAGCGGCGGGGCAGCGACCTCGACTGTCCCCGGGCACGCCGCGGTCCTCCCGGCGCTGCGCAAGGCGAGGGCGCGTTCAGACGGCCCCGGAGGCCCCGGCGCCTCCCCTCGCCCTCGAGAGCGGGGCGCGGGCGGGCTCACCTTTGGCCACGCACGAGCCCATCGCGGCCCGGAGGCGGAGGGGGAGCGCCCGGCCCCGTCCGGGCGGGGCACATCGAGCAGGCCGGAGCCGCCGCGTTCCCTGCGGCCGCCCTGGCTGCCGGCTCCTTTCCCGGCGCCCGGGGCGGGGCAGGCGGGGCGGGGCGGCTGGGCTCCCCGCGGGGCCCCTCCGCACAGATCGGAGCCGCCGCGGCCTCGGCGAGCCGCCCTGCGCTCCTCGCCGCGCCTTCCGACGGAGCGGCAGCACGCCTGCGGGGTACACGTCGTCTGCGCCGGGCACGTCGTCTGCGCCGCGGCCCCCGTCAGCCCAGCGAGCATCGGGCGGGGGATCCTCTGCCGGGCACGGCGGAGATGCTCCTGCTCGCTCGCTCCCTGCAGCCCTCCGCGCCATCCACGCGCACAGCGGGGCCGCGCTGGCGAGAGTGCCCGACCCCAGCAGGGGCTGCGGCAAGGCGAAGGCAGGAGCGGCCGCCGCCCAGCCTCTCGCTCTGCAGCCCGCCCGCCAAGCACGCAGGAGCCACGGGGAGAGGCGACGCCACAGCGAGAGCGCGGGCTCGGGGGCCCGCCGGCCTGCCGCTGCGCTGCCCAGGGGGCCGACCCGGTCCCGCGGCCGCGCCGCCTGCAGACCCAGCCGCGGCTCTTCCCGCTCGGCCCTCGCCTGCGCCCCTCGGGCAGCGGGGCTCCGGGCCCTGCGGTGCTGCCCCCTGGCGCCGCTTCCACCGCGGCGTCCCGGCTAGCGGCTTCCCCTCCTCCCCGGCCAAGCAACCGGGGCGCCGAGCTGCGCTGCGCTGCCCGGCCCGCGTCCCCCCCGACCTGAGCGAGGGTGCAGCAGGGGCACCTGCGCGGACACCTCCTCCTCGTCACGCAGCGCCTTCCCCCTCGGTGCATTTCCAGCCCACCCACGCGGCATCAAGATAGCAATGAGACCGAGACCGGACCCACCCATCAAGAGAGCAAGAGACAGCCGGGCCCATTGAAAGGAGGCTTCCTCGCAAGAAGAACCGCAAACTTGCACTTGCGAACACGTTAGAGCGGCTAAAACAGTTAACAAGACTCCAGGTCCTGACAGAGAGCCCGAATTATACGCTGCCACATTTGTTGTTTCAGCCTGAGCTTTGAATTGTAGCTGTTAACTGAGGGTGCCCCGCACGCAACTTTTGCATCGCCCCCGGACGGGGCTCCCCCCCCCCCCCCCCCCCCCCCCCCCCCCCCCCC